AGCCAGCAGACCTGTGAAAGAAACAAAACATGTCAGTAAGATGCCGCAATTTAAGAAACAAGCTTTTTATTAGTCCTCTTCTAGCATCATCCTTTTTACTCTGAGATACTCATTGATAGTGGTAGCATAATCTAGAGCTGGGATCTCAGAATACTGCAGGTTCTTTCTTCAGATGTCTTTACATCTTCACTTTGTCGTTTCTACCACCTCACTTTGATCACCAGCACTACAATCAACATTAGCAATTTGCCATGTTCCAGCCTGTCTTCTACTTCCTCCTTCTCGATTATTGCTTCACAGATCCAGCTCTTTCCAGGCCACAAACCCATTTCAATCACATCTTCTTGTTCATATGCTCTTCCCTCAGCTCCTACATAACCGAAATTACCTCTTGCTACTTTGCATTTGAGGATTCTGTTCCCAGTCCCTTTGCTGCCTTAAGTACTGACTATTTTGGGGCAGTGACATTCAGTTTGTCTTTAATGCCAGGACCTGCTAACATCTTCCTGTGACTACATGACTTTCCTTGCATGTGCCCTAAATGAATGGTGCCTGCCTTTGTCTGCTGGCAGGCAGAAAGAAGAATGGCCTTTCACTGTTGGCAGGAACCTGAGTGCATCAGCTCCTACTCCTCCAGGGACTCCTCTCTGCAAGCGAGTAGATACAGCCCTGCTGGGTAAACCAGCCACAGCGACCTCAGAGGTGAGCACCTCCAGCTGGGTTACCTCATGGGATGGGATTGCAGAGAGCAGAGGTTTGTTCACTGAAGCTTACAGGTTGGTTCTCTTCACATTCTAGCCACCTATCTCTTCCTGTTACTCTAAATTGTCTTTCCAGTGACCCTGTAAGCTTATCACAAGCCTTTTTGTCTCTTAGTATTTCCTGCAGGATTGACTTGGCATTTCTGATGCTATGTGTTTGACAGGGGTCAGTTTCCAAAATGTAAGAGCAGACAAAGTTACCCAATTCCTGCTGCTAAACTAGTAAATGCTGGGGAGAGCTCAAGGGAACTGTCATGTGCAATCAGGAGCTGAAGAGCAACACATTGATTTCTGTCTGAGTCTAGAGATGTAGAAGGCCAGTAAGAGGCACACAGGAGAAACAGTCACTAAATACTAGCAGTGTGAGCAGCTCATGGGAGGCCCCTTGGTTACCACTGACACCACGGACAGAGTAACGAGTGTTAATTGTTTGCACCTATGCATTTCAAGACAATTGCAATATTTTTGAAAGAGTAGTTAAAAGGTATTCATAGAATCATTTTAGTTGGAAAAGACCTTTAAGAGCATCAAGTCCAACTGTAATTTAATACTGCTAAGTCCACCACTAAACCATGCTTCTAAGTGCCATCTAAGTATACTTTGAATAGGGAAGGAGGGCAGGAACAAAACAGTCTCCAAAATCATTGAGGAATAGTCTCTTCATTATTGAGAGTTCTTGAAATTGGCCACCTTAGGGACAGCAGATTGTTACTGGAAAGAAGCTGAGAGATCATGTAAGGAAACTGCATCTTCTTACAAAAACAGGTCAAGCTGTACACCAATAGTTCTGAAGCTGGAGCTTCATCTATAGGACTAAGAGCAGCAAAAAAGTGCTTTCAGTTTTCATCTTTAAGTGTACCTCAGCCCTCCCTTGCAGGGTGAAATTCATCTCCTCCCATCCTCACACACTCCAAATTCTGGCAGCTCCACAAAGACTCCAGGAGACTCAAGGGCAGGCACACAGCAGGAAAATGTGCAGAAGTTCACCAGTTTGTAAAATGTAGCTTGATTTCTAGTCTTTAGCAGCTTGTTTTGTATCTCCCAAATACAGGGCATGGGCTGTTAGGTTTACAGTAATTTCAATCATACTAGGAGAGGGAAAACTCTAACTTCAAACCTGGGCAGATGGAGCTTGTCTAGCCTTGTAAGGCCTTCCATCTAAGAGAAGGACACTCTAACCAAACCTACAACCTGAGGACTTTGCTGTCACCGTCCTAGCTAGCTAGGCCCTGGCAAGTAAACCTCAGGTGTAAAGGGTGGGGCAAGTTCTGCACAGGCTGCTCCTCACCTAAAAAATCCACTGTGCAGGCCTGAAGGGTTTACTCAGGCGAGGGACAAAACAGCAGGTGATAAGGTGCACTGGAAACTGCAGACCCAACCCTGCATGCAGGCAGTTCAGGACACTGGTTGCTCGAGATTGACCCAGGAAATGACAGTCTTGTTTGGAAACATCCTGTATGATCAAGCAGCTTTTTTTCCAACCGGATTTGCCTATCCCACATTGCCCTTTTAGTCCTCATCACGCTTGTAGTAAGCATGGGTAAAGCCCTTCCCAAATCTTTGTTCATGAAGCCAAGCCATCATCATCATCATCAATTGCACACAGTGCTTCACCTCATTCATTACCCACAAGAGTAAAAACATCACCCTCAAGTGACCTTTCCATGCTGCTGAAAAACTACAAAATGTTACCACTAGCAGGAAGTTTACAAACTTCCTGAAATCTTTCTACCTGTCAAGGTTGTGAACAAAAGTGTTGCAAAGCAGTAAAAGTGCTCCTGGATTTTAATGATCAGGAACTAAAGACGATAATTCAGTGCCAAAATTAATTGCTATGCTTAACTGCACAGTAGCATATGACAGGAAACAGGTACCTGGCTGAATGCAGAACTTCAGTATTTCCTAATCCCATTACAAAAATCTTAAATTCTGACTCCTGAGAACCAAAACATCAACAGAGAGGGCCGAAAACGAAAAGCAAGTGCACAGAGATAAACTCAGAGCTAACTCCATGTGCTCTAACAGAGTCCTACTTCCAAGGTCTATGAGACCTTAGCCTATTTGCAGTGAAATCCAAGGGTGTGTTAAGTCCATTTCTCCTTTCTTACATCCCCATTAAAACAAACCCAAACCAAACTCAAACCAGAACTAAGAGTTGGCACTGGATAAACCAGGAACCACTGTGAATAAAGCCTATCCAGATTTCAGAAAACACAGAATGAAGAGGCCTCCCAGCTCTCACATCCTGCTCTGCTTTCCTCTGTACACAGAGCTGAAAAGAAGAACCTTGAGCTACACCATATTACAATGTCTGGTCATGGAATTGTCCTTTTCTCTCTGCAGATTTATGCATGTCCAAAAAAAATGCTTGATTGGAGCCATAACGATCCAGTCTTTCCTAAATTAAAAGCCCCAGCCAAAACAACACCACTCCTCTACCACTAGTATGTGTCTCTCTGGAGACAGTCCAATGACAGAGCAAAGCTGGCAGCTGTAGGTCTTAGGCTCCTATTGACAGTGTCCCACACTTGGCACACACCTCCTTGCACCAAGGATACAGGGTGCCGCTAACAGCGTATGCACTCTTCAGGCAGGGAGCTGGGAGATAAAAAATGTTTTACTGCAAAAGAGAAAGCTCTTATAAGCACAATCTAAGTAACAGAGAACTGTATGCATCAGTATGATTATGACCTCAACACCACAGAGTATTGTTACTGGAAACAAACAAAAGTCAGATTTATCAAGAACCAAACCAATAGGCTGCCTCTGTAATTCACACGCACACACCCCGCACCACCACCCTACTCCCCCCCCGCCCTTGTGTTTTGCACTACTATCCATGAACTCCATAGAATTCTCTGCCCTTTCGTACCCTCGCTGCAGCTGTCAATCTTCAACCCCATTTCATAGCTTGGGGGGAGGGGAAATTCTACACACCCAGAGTTTGTCAGAATGGGCAGGACCCTGACAGTTCATCCCTAACAAATGCTGCTTTTCATAACAAGCATTTTGCATATTTACACTCTAATGATGTTCATCTGTATTATTTTGACACAATAAATAAAAAGGAGATCAAGAGTCAACTTTTTCCTGAAGAGTGCAGTTTTCTGAGATATGCTCTCCCATAACAGGTAGATGCACTTAAAGCAATAGACTTGCCTGAGCATTAGCTTGGCATGAGCTCCTTTCCCCTCATTTGAGTCAAAAAAACCAAAGAGACTAAGACAGTACAGGTTTGGACAAATGATTTTCACCTTCTAGTTGTGCTGCTGGAATCACACAAACTTGCTCTAAGGTTAGACAGCTGTCTCAGAACATTTCATCTCTTAGTTGTGTGCAGTGCTTGATTCATAACCCAGATCTTGTTTAAAGAGTCAGCTTTTGTCTGATTTCTATTTGTGTCACTTCAAATCCTACTGCTGCAATAGGAAGTAAAATAATTCTCTGGACTCCACCTCTAGAAGGCAGAGTCTTAAATGCCTGAAGCACACCTCCTCTGACCCTGAGACACATCCATTAATTCTGAGCGCCTCAGAGGGTTAGACAACATTTAAACCAGCCCAGCAGTAGTGGATGGTTACACACAGCAAGACCTGTCCCCTCCGGGTGAAACCCAGTTTTGTGGAGGGAGAGGAAGACAAAGGGAAGGTATCCCTCAGCTGTGGCATGTCTGGAGGTTTGCACAGGGACAGGGGAATTGGCTTCAGGTCCTGCAGCGGCCAGGTGAAGGGGAGCAGACACCGATGCGATGTACATTTGCAAAAAGCTCCGTTTATTGCTTACAAGGCTGCTATTAATATACTGTTTTGAGCCCCCTTACACACGATCACGCACTACTTGATTGGCTGCCCCGCTTAGTCCATGAGGTGTCCACGCGCCGCTATTCTTTTTATGATTGGGCCTAAATGCTTGTGTTAGCTTGGCATTATATCTTGCTTTGCGGTTACTGTTATCCTGTTGTTGCATTCCTTACTCGGGGTTATAAGTTCATATTCTCACAGCTTGCTGTAGACTTGTCCGACTGTCCATGCTCGACCCCCAACAAGGTCCCACAGTTTTGACACAGTCTCAGAATCCAAACCCAGACAGTCAGAGATGATGTTCATTTGCGATCCCAAGTACTATCAGTACCCCTAGCCATCAGAACTGCTCGTGGCAAGCTACCCCTGTGGTGATGCCACTGCCAGGTAAGAGCCAGCTCCCTGTGACCGTGCCACAAAACACTTTTCAGACTGGAGCTGTGCTTTCATGTGAACACTTACAATCTGCTAAGTTGTGTGTAAGAAATAGAACCACTCACAAGGCCTGCTTGGAATGATCATCGAAGGACAATCTTCATCACGTAGGACTTGAGCAACAGACTAAAAAGGGGAAAAATAGGAATGCTGAACACATAGCAGAATTAACTACGTGGGTTTTGTTTCCCACCCACTCTGAGAAAATGCCCCAAACTGGACTCTGTAGCCTCCTCCCCAAACTTGACTGCTGGAGCTGCAAGACACATTCATGATGTGAGAATCCAGCCTCTCAATGTGATTTGGGAAAAGACTATTCTTTACTTTTCTAGTGACAAAAAAGAAAAGACCTCTTCACTTTGGATCGGCAGGTGAGGCAGTAATGACTGGGCGATTGCTCCTTGCCTCCCCCTTACTTTTATCTTAAAGAAGAGTAAGAATTTAACACAACTAACATAGCTGAATTGCAAGGCAGTTTAGAGATGGGAGAAATAACACAGTACGTTTGAGTCCAAAATCAGTTCCATGAAAGACAGACTCTTTTCCTAGCTAAATTACTGAGGAGCTCTACATAACTCAGGAGCCTTAAGAACTGGTTTGAGACACTCTGCTCTACTGCTGTGGAGTACTTAAGTACTAAAGGATACTTGCCACAGTACTGCAACCACATGGGTAGCTGCAGATACTCTTTAAGGAAACAGTAATCACTGAAAGAGTTAGGGATGTGATGTGCATACAAGACCTTCATCCCTGTCAAAGCGTATGCATGGGACAACTCCTTATACGGTGAAATCAGAAGAATTCAAAGCTTTGCTGTAGCTCAGTAAAATCATGCATATTACACATTGCTTGAAGAAAAAAAGTATTCCATCACCTCCTGATACATACAGACCTTGCGAGGACTGTTAAAACCAGGTCTGCAGAACTGCTTGAAGTAATTCCACTGATCGGGTTTGTATCTGTAGGAAGCCTGAACATCAATGTAGGTCACAAACCTGTCTGGGCACTTTGAGACACAAAGCTGCAAGAAAAGAAGACACACTGGGGGTAGAGAAGGGTAAGGAAAGTCAGTGCAATCAAAAAGCAACAAAAAAAGTCACTCGTAAAAGTGCCCCGTTTTACGGAATTGCCTTCAGTAATGTTTACTGCAGCATTTGGAAAGGGACGCAATGCACTCGTGATTTCCTAGGCGAGTACTTCTCAAACTCTTTGGTAAATACTTTCCAAGTCTCTCCCCTTCCCTGGCACATCCAGCACCGCCTGTATCCCTGTCGGCTCCACACACCCTGGTGGATCCGCAGAGCTTCCAGGCTGCTGGGGAAAAAAAACAACTGTTTTTTAACAGCAGTAAAAACCATCTGCTGGGTCCTCCTCTGCTCCCTCAGCAGCCGTGTCCTGAGTGAGGTGGTGCAGTTGCTGCTCTCACAGTGCACACCTCATGTCCTTCTAGCACATTTGTAAGGAAAACTTTACTCAGTAAAGGCCTCGTGCAGCTAAAACTGTTCAACCCTTCTACACAGTCTCTTCAGTCAAACACAGCTCCATGGTTTTGTGTCAATCACTCAGAAGTGACTTTACTGCTGACTAATGATGAATGTTCCCTGGTTACAAAGCAGGAAGGGTGCACATGCCAGGAATGAAATTCTGAGCACTTGAGGTACAGCCATTATAAACCAGATCTGTGTGAGAAATCAGGCAAGGACTGGGGTTTGGTGGAAGCATCCACTCAGAAGTTAGGATTCATGGAATGGAGAAGCAGCTGTCCCATTGCCCCCGAAGGCTCTGCTGGGCTCTGGAACCATGCAAGTGTACAGCCGGTCTGACTCCTTAGTGCTCCTAAACACTCCCGCATAGTCTGAAGTCCATCTGTTTAGCAAGTTTCAGCCTTTTCCAGAAGGCTGTTCACCGTTTCCAGAGCTGTGCTAACCAAACACACTTTGCAAAGCTCTGCTATCCAAGCACCAGAGGACATCATGCACGAAGCTGTGCTTCACCTCAAGGGATTCCATCATACACGATTCACCTGAGGGACTTTTGCCAAAAGATCTTGTACTAATCCTCAGAACAGGGTGCATGCTGCAAGAGGTCATTCTACACGGGTGCTACAGTCCTGCGCACTACCCACAGGCCAAGGAACAAAGAAGTTTTGTCTTGCTGGGACAAGAGGTAACTAACAAGTATATACTTTACTCTGACCTCAGCTTCTCACCTGTGAAACAGGCAATGAAACATGCTGTCTATGGATGCAGTGAACTGTAATAACAGTTTGCGAATCCAGTGTTTTACTCAAGAACTGAAGCCCTTCCCACACCAGTTCTTGTTTTTTTCCCTCCTGCTGTTTGATATGAACGGGACAGGAATGAAAGACCTTGTTTGCAGCTCAAAAGAGGAATTATCAAAAGAGCTTTTCACAAGAGACCAGAGAATTAACCATCTGCAGGAGCAAACAGCCAAAACCATTCCATGCTTTGGAGATGTTGTACATTTGGAAATCAACAAAACAACTACTCTGCTCCCCCAGACTCTCCTTCAACAAATATTTCACCTTACTCGATTCATGACTACTGCCAACTTGCCCACAGCCCCAGTCACATCCCACACAGTGACTGGAGGATTTCTGAACAGGCTGGAGTGTTCCAGTAACAGAGTCTAAAGACTGCAGGGTAACGGTGTCAGTGTTTGCATGTGAACAGACAGGGATTCCTGGAACAAACCTGCTGCTGACAGAGAAAAGTTTGCATTCCAACAGCAGCTGGTCAGTGTTAAGAGGACTCTTGCTATTCTTTGCTGGAGATTTCCATCTCTTCAGCTGTGTCAAATAGTCCATATGGTCACACTAACTGATAGGCCAGAAACATCTATCAAGGACAGGGATCAGAAGTAAGGGCAAGCTGGAATGGGAAGCATTTTTAAATGATAGTTAAATAAAGACAATTAACATTTGGAATCAGTAAATTGGTGACCATGTAACAACCCTCATCCAGATTAATACTGGACCTCACTGAGTATTGTCAAGATGGCCAAGACCATACTTGGTCACCTGCAGCTTAGTTACACAGTACAAATACTCTGGCAGCAAAGCTGGATCAGAGCAGCCCTTCACCTAAATCCTCTGACCTACCCCATGCCATAAGTTGTTGCCCTAGAAGATGGAACAGATGAGCATAACTGTGCAATTGTTCAACAAAGCAGGTCAGTGAAATGGTCTCATGTAAAAAACATCAGCAAGATGATGTTAATCCACACAAGCTCAGTGCCTGGGTTTATTTCATAGCTTCACAAGATGCTGCAGCACAGCCAAGGAAGTACAAATTGCGGCACAAGGCAAGAACAAGCTTTCAAGATCTTCACTTTTCAAAGTGCTGCAGGCTCTAACCATACCCAGATACTACTGTCACTGGGGATATGCACATCTTCTTGAACACATCTACTTTGGAAAACCCTAGATGTCGATCAGAAGTATTTTCTGCATGCACTGATTACTACTCAACATCTGCTTGTGATGAATTCGTAAGTTACAAGTTGCTGCATTCAGCTAAACAGACCATTTTTTTTTTTGTCAACTCTTATCCAAAATACTCAGTTTTGTGCATTTCTCTTTATTTTTTCTGACCACCATAGGCTACAGGGACTGTGTGCTACAGGTCATCTATAAACCAATCATGTTACATTTTGAAGGATATGAATTTTTGAATCAAACAAATGTATGTCTAGTTCTTAAGCACAATGACTAAGAGGAAAGGAAGATACATTATCTCAGTATTTCACTCACCTGTGTTGTAGGGCACTGTAGGTTTATTAACACCACGGGGCTGGCACATTTCAGAATGTTGAAGTAAAACAAAATGGTCTTGTTCCTATGGAAGTGGACATAAGATAAGTAATATTGTAATTATGGGTGCTTGCATATCCTACCATTCAAAACCGGACAGCATATATTGATATTTAAATTCTATTATTGTGATTGGTCATATTGCAAATACAAAGCAAAGAAAAACCACCCCCAAAAATCCCAAGCAGACCCTGGGTGTTTCATGCCAAGACAGCGCCGAAACCAGAAGCATTTGGTCTAAGGAACTATGCGAGTTAAAGAATGCTAACTTTTGAGAAGGCTTTTTCACCACATGGTTTTAAGATGAAACAACCGAGGCACTGTTAGAGGCATCTGTAGTCCTGCCTCTGAGAAGCGAGGTCTGTAAAATACCCCTGCAAAACCTCTGTGGTCCCTCTGCTTAAACTGAACACAGGGTGCGCACTCCATGCCAAATCACTACTGGCAAATGCTACACTGTGAAAGCTGCCTGTTTCTGGCTGATCAGAAGGTGGCACCAAAATCAATCAAAAGCTTTTTATGGCTGAAACCTGAAAGCAGCTGGCCAGGAAAAAGAATGATAATGATAGCATCTGCTCCTACCCCTGACAAACCTCCTGCGACGTAAAAAAGGGACAGTCTGAGGAGTTTGCACCCCAGATCCTCACACGTGACAGCTTCTGGAATTTCACTGCACATTCAAGCTCCCTTTAAAACTGGGGTTAGCTCAAGTGCCTCACATTTTACAAGGTTAAATTGTTTTCACCAAGGTCTGTTCTGCGATGCACTGGTAACAAACCACGCATCCTGGCAAAACCAGTTTCACTAACATGAGCTGTGATTTCTGCAAATCCACAGAGCAAACTTTTGGACTGAAATGCCATCGCTCTGCAATAGCTCCTTGACAGTGCTCATAATCCATGAGCTGCTCAAGGCCATTAATGGAATCATTTTTTTTCCATAGGACTTAGCCCACTTGCCAATTTCGACAGCAGGAAAGAAAGTTTAAATATGTGTGTGACATAAGAAAACAGCCACCGAGAACTAGGTCTGTGTTATTTATAATGAAATTATGCTGTATTCCATGATTACACTGTGCTCTGCAGGAGGCAAAACAAGCGTACAGATTACATGGAGATTAATGGATGGATTGCAGGTAGACACAAAGAGGCCTAAGAGAGACTCTCAAGACAGCACAAAGTAGAATTAACTTGACTGCATGGAATTCACTGGAGTCCAAATGGGTTTTTGCATCAGCTGTGAGTGCTGGCTTGGTTTTTAGCTTCTCTTTTCTACTCCTCAGTGAGGCTGCTGTGAATGCTTGTTCCAAGCAGAAGACTCAAAGCCACAGAGACTGTGATCACTGTCCAAGAAAAACTTCTCAGAGTAAGGCCTTAGGGACTCAGGAAAACCATAGTCCTGGGTTAGCCTTTCACAGTGCTTACTTTCAGGGCAGCAGAAAAACCTGACAATAGCATTGGTGAAGGCAAGATGAGCACATCCCACACCTCCACTTTCAGGGACCAGAGGTACTTGTTCAGAGGGGCCTCCTGGTCTACTGCCATGATCACTCCTGCTTTCCAATAGGTTGTGTTATGTCTCTTTTGGCTTATATTTTTATAACAAACTCCTCAACGTGGCCAGTAAGTGCCAAAATGCAGTCTCAGCAGCTGTATTACTTTGCAGCAATCATACAGATGGAGGGACATTTGTGGATAGGAACTGGAAATCACATTGTAAAAAATAACCAAAGGGAAGTCTTGATTAACAAATAGAAAGAAGGAATGGGAGTGTAACAGAGCAGAAGGAGGAATGGGAGTGGACGATAACAGAGACACACATCTGGCTACACACCGCACAGTGCATGGACACTGTGGGTCTGAGGCTCCCAAACCCACCTGCCCATTGCTTCGTACTGACCTTAGGGCACAAGAGCAAATTGGGAGTGAGAAGGGGAGCAGACGAGGGGTGCAGTGAGGGGAACACACAACACAACAACTTTTGCTCCTAGTTTTAACTCTTCAGGAAGTTGGCCTCTCCAAAACCTGCTGTGAAGAATCTCAGAGGGTGGAACAGGTCTTCTTACACCATTTAGTCTGTTTCCTCTGTAAAAAAACTTGAGAGGATATGAAGTCCTAGCTCTGCCTCTGTTCAACTCCCCATCTCCTGCTCCTTCCCTTCTGAATGCCCTTTGGACAGAGTCTTCCTCACGGTTTTTCCCCATTAGAAAACTAAATGGGAAAAGAAAGAAGCAGCAAAGAGCTGTTACCAAAAATTAGCTTCTGGTTTGCTTCCTGCAGAGCCTCGAGGTTCTTGACAGTGACAAAGGGCATAAAGGGTGCCTAATACTTACTTTTTAAAAGGGAGATGTTGAGGGGAAAAAAAACAAACTGTCTTTTACAATTCTGTTTCATAAAGCACTTAGATTTTTCAGGGGAAACATCGATGTGACATCTTTCCTTCCTGAGCAGCTATTTCCATGCAGAAGTGCTCTATTGAGATCAACTGATTCATTTAACTCTCACAATTCAGGATTTAAAACCACTGGGAAACAGAGACAAGCAAAGGAAGCCACTCGGCAGGTATGCCAGGGAAGGTGTACTTAGAGCTGCCTGCTTCCAGACCTCTCAGTCTCCTCTCTACTGGCTCTGGGTAAACACCAGAAATAAAACCCTGAGAGGTTTTCCTTCTGGTCTCTTCTGTTATTTGGTGCATGTTGAAAAAAACTAAGACCCAGGCAATAATGCTTTGGGACTACTCTTGCTCCAAGGTGGATAAAAGAATTAACTATCCAAACCTGGGTAGTAAGAAGCTGTGCCAGCTAGCTCACTTGCTATGCAATTAGTGATGCCATTTTTAAGCTATGTTGATCCTTTACCAGAAATATTCTCTGAATGATGAAAACAACTGTATTCTGACAATAATTTGGATTTACACCAAATTGCACCAAGCAACTCATCTATTTCCTACCTTTATGTGCTATAAAAATACAGGAAGAGTATCGCTGTTTCTTCAGCTTCCCAAGAGAAGCCCCAGCAGACAGAGAAACTTGAAACCTCACACCTTATTCACACTGCATGAGTAATAGAGGTATGTGAATGCATTCAGTACTCACTCACTGGGGGCATCCTTCTGACTGCAGAACTGCCAGTAGCTGTCAGTTAGAGTGTCAGTGACACTAGATAATGGTCCATAGTGGAGCATACAAAAATAGAAAAGTACTGCTTGTCCGTGGTAGCTCCTCTCTGAAAAGCTCAAGATGTGCTTTGGCTCATCCCCAAAAAGTCACTGGCCACTTCTTCCAATGTAGGCTGGACCCCTACATCAGAATGAGTGTGCATTTTTGCTAGTATAAAAGCCCAAGCCCCATGCGATGCC